TTTCACGTTTTTTTTTTTTTTCATTTTTTCGCTTAAAATGTAATTGGGGGATTGATGCTTCGCTTTTTGATGGCTCCTCGGTATTTTTTTTGCCCCCCCCCCCCCCCCCACAATATTATGGTTATTACTATCAATATCATGCTGATCGTTTGTTGGTTCTTCTTCATCTAAAACTGTCTCATTCTATCTATGCAACACAGACTAACTCGATTACTGCTCTCAAGCTACTAGTTTTGTTTGTGCTCAACAATCAAACTTTGATGACATATGAGTTTCACGTACGATCAACAGCAGAAATGATGGTGATTACTAAGAAAACGGTTCATTTTGTCTATTCTCGGTGTTCATCCGTATGTAGTTCGAATTGAAATTTATGAAAGAAATGAACATGAACAAGCGGTCTTCTTGGGACTTTGGGAGTATCCAATCATTTTTGATTATCTACCAGTCTTTCGTCTTGCCAAAAGTACTTCGATTAGATAGACTATCAACATTTCGTCATCACAACTCTTGTTCATCGAATTCCTGTCACGAGAAGGCCGAATGCCACCCACTACGCAATGATCCATCGAAATATTTATACCTCTGTCCTAATAATTCCACTGGAGTGAACTGTTCTATCGAAGATTTGCACTGCACCAATGATTACTGTGCACCAACAGCACTTTGAAACCCATTTCCCTATTGTGTCTGTTCATTCAATCGCTACGGTGAGCGGTGCGATATTGATTTGATATCGCTCGATCTCATTTTCGTGCATCAGCTAGTCTATCAAACTCTCCCATCATCACTTGAATATCGATATCATCACATTTGTATTGAAAATTCAACTCTGTTCTGTTTTCATGACGATGTCTACTTCTGTAGTATGACGATACTTTGGATCATTGCTTGCATTGTCTCTCGGGTGGTCAATGTCTGAAAGGAGATCTCGAACGTTCGAACGATTTTCTTTGCATGTGCCCTAATTGCCATTCAGGTCGATATTGTCAAAATTCAATTCGAAATCATTAACTTTTACCCTCGATCAAGTATTCCACATTGATCTCATCTCTAATCACAAACGAACAACGACATACTTGCTCATGTTTACCTCTCTTTTAGGACTGACTGTCGGTCTTCTAAATAATCTTTTCTCGTTCGTTACTTTTCGTCGACAACAATCGCTTTTCAACGATCTTTTTCTATTCTCGACGACATTCTCTGCAAATGTTTAACATACATACTTTCTTACTTGTTTTTCTCGTGTGTTTTATTGGTTTGTTTCATTCGTTGCTCTCGACGTTTGATGACGTTAATATTCGCCGTTGTGTTTACATATGATGCTTATGAACTTGTATTCTTCAGGTTATTTCGTACGAACGACAGCGGCAATAGCGCCATGTGTATTCTCGAATTTCCGGTGTCTCATCGAACTGTATGGATATTCATTTTAGTTAACCTTTGCTAATCAATATCTGTTGTACAATAGCTATCGTACGTATTATTATCAGAACAAAAATGAATCTTAGTATGACTAATGAACGTAAGTAATATTTTTGTCGACCGTTAAACTCTTAACAAATTCTTTCGCTTGTTCTACAGATCGATTGCATGTTTTACGAGATGTGTTGAGTGAACATAAAAACATGATCGCTAAGCCAATGATCGCATTGATACGCCGTCGATATTTTCATTTTTCTCGTTACCAACAATCACTGTTTCGTTTGCACTTGGTTGTCGAAATCTTGAAACCAGTCGACTACGGTATCTTCTAATGATCTCCTACTTTCTCTCGTTCCTTCCCCAAAATGATTACGTATTTTCTCTACGTATATCCGTCGTCAGTCTATTCGAAAGAGTGGCAATCGACATTGACCAGTCAACGAATAGCAGCTTTTCGACAACGAGTTTCACTCATGTTTTGAAAATCAACAGATATGAAACGAAAGATTAATCTCACTTGATATGATCTATGATGTAGACTTTCGTTTCTTGCGAACGTGTTTCCAACATATTCGACACTCGTTGCAATACACCTTTTCTACGTGCTCGGAAGTATGACGAAGCATTGACACAATCGATTCATCGAATAGCAAATGAATGTACATAGTCAAATCTTTTTTTTCGTCATTTATTTAAATTGTTTATGTCAAATACAAAAGAAAAGGAAAATCTTCATCAATCGAAATATTTTCTTGAGATTTATTATAACTATTTGCCTTGACATCCTGTTGGAGTAGCTCTGATGTACGTCGTTGAAGCAGTAGTAGCAGCACCACCGCCGCCCGGTGAAACAGTGGTGAAGAGAGGAGCATCGGGATTATAAATATCATCGAGATTCTCTTTCGATGAATCACAACAAGAATCACAACATGTGGCTGCTTTGCAAGCAAGTTTAGCGGAATTGGTCGCAACACGTTGTGCGTTCGCGGCAGCTTTTACTCCTTGAATCATTGTTTGCGCAGCCTGTTGAGCAGCGGCGGCTGCTTCAGGATCATCTTTAGTAGCTTCAATGATGCCCTTGTTAGCTTCTTCCACACTCGTCTTCAACGTTTGTGTAGCAACACGTAGAGCAGCAATGGCCATTTGGAGAGCTTCACATCCAGTTATCGGCGCAGCACAAGAACAACTGGTCGTCGTCGTCTGCGTGTTTGTACAGGCAAACATTAGCATAATTATTGTTAGGCAGTAAGCCACAACGAGTTGAGCCATACTTTCGTATTGTTGTGGGACGATTGAGAATAGGTATGATACGCTTGTTGTAATTTATACTCGAAGGATTGATAAATTTTTTTTCATCCTGTTCTTCCTAACTCAGCGATCGTTGGAAACTACCTATTTAAGGCTCTTTGCCTAATGAGATAAAGGAAGTTATTCTGTTTACAAAAATAATATCGAATGGATTTCATCGTTAGTGTTAATGAAGGCAACCTTGAAAACGATTGGAAGTTACGCACAATGCAAAATTTCCCTTACTGTAATGCACCCACCGATTCATTGAAAACGCTCGTATATTTTCAAACGAAAAAATAATATATAAAAATATCGTACTCATCCTCCGAATATAAATACACACGGATTTGCAGCTTTTATCACGAAATATCACACTTTCAATATGAATGCGTTGTTGTGAGTATTGCATTTGACTTCGTGTACATTCTCTCTCAATACAGATATATGTATTTGCTTCTAGTTGGACTGTATTGTGTGTTGGTGCGGTGGCTTTATTCGGCATCGCAGCAACAATTGTGGTGTCTCTCATCCCAACTTATATAGAAAAGGATACCAGTGCGCTCGCCAGTGAGTGAAATAGAATGTTTTCTTCTTATTGAATTCAATATAACTCTGTGTATTAGATTTGAAAGGAACGCCATTTAGCATGAAGTATAATATTAATTCAGGAAGTTTTGCGAATGGTGATCTTCCTGCGACCCATCGTAATGCAATTAACGCGCAAGTAAGAAAAGAAGATTTCTTTTACTTTAAATATGTTCCTACTCTACTATTTTCAGTTATCGAACCTCATACAAGAAAAAGTATCAGTTGAACTAACCTCGGCAACGGTTAAGAGTGCAGCATCAAAACAGTGAGTTTTTAGAGATGTTTAAAAATGTCACTTACTTTGTTTTTTTGACATAAAAGATCGCTGTTTCGTCGTCAAGCCACTCAATCTGTAGTACTCGAAATTCGTGGTGCTATCAAAGGACAAAAAGGATGTGCGACACGATGTACACTCAATGCTGTGAAAAAGTTTCAATCAGCTCTTTGTACTACTGAACTTCTCTTAACTCAATAAGCGATTGTATTCTTTAATATTATAATAAAACGAACTTTCACATTGTCATACATCAACTGATTGAGAGTGCGCGAGTATCTTTTCAAAATTGACGAACACTACATTTGGATTATTATCACCTTGTTGCTACTTCCTTTGAAATAACCAATCAAATTTCGAGTCACAATTGCACTTAACTGCCTCTGCGGCATATACTTAGAAATTCCAAGTTAGAAAGCATCTATTCGATGCAAACATTTCTTGTGATCATTTTTTTTCTCTATGAACAATATCGAGATACACACCACTCACTATTGACTATTGTTTGCAAGAGACCCCAAACCTCATTCAGTACGAACCAAAACAATGCGTGCATATGTAGAAAAACGTCATAACTATGCGCTAAAGACATCTATTGAAGAGTCGTTTTTATTACAATGATTGGAAAGAAGTTCAATCGATACAAAGGCAAGTTTTCTGTGAAACAACGAATCCATTGGAAAATAAAATCTGGATTTATCTATTCAACAAAAATGAATCGAAATAAAAAAAGGACAACGAACATCTTCTTTCAGTTATTTTTCATACAACAAGTGTATACGCGTGTGTTTTCTATCATAAAGGGAAGGAAGTTTGACTCACACACAGTAGCAGATACATGTTCGCTATCGATGATTGTTTTGTTTGTATATTCAGATAGTTGTTTTTGTTATTGATGGCAACGGGAAAGAACAAATCACGATGTTAGTTGTAACAAGGACAGAATTACTTATTCTTGTCAAGGCTGTTCAAGTCAGTTTTGTTTAACTCACTTAAATGAACAGTTGAATATCATCATTACTGATTGTGATCAGTTTCGAGAGAGAATAAACCAGAAACAACCGGATTTATCATTAATCGAGGAAATTGATCGATGGAAAACGAAAACAATCAAGTTAATTCGACAAGCACTTGTCGAAGAGACACAAAATATTATCGAACAAATTGAAGAGAAATTTAACAAGTTGATCAAAGAAATCAAGACTGTTTAACCAGAGAATGAATTTAATGAGATTACTCTGAAATATTTGAAAAAGAAATTAACAATGTATTCAATTGTGCGTTTGAATATATTGTCGAAGAAGAGAATTCACAAATATTTGCCAAGAAAATTTCAATCAAAATACCGAAAAATACGTTGAACACCTGATTATCTTTGAGTAAGGGAGATAGGTACGTTTTTTTATCATTTAGAAGTGATCTGGAAGAAAGGGTTTTGGTAACAAATTAAATCAATTTTCCTTTTCACAAGAAATATTCATAAACAAAAATCAAAATATCTTTATTGTGGATTGTTTGAATCATCGAATTATGCGGTGGAAACCAAATGCAACCCAAGGAGAAATCGTGACAAATGCAAACAACGCGAATCGATTGAGTTACCGAAGAGATGTGATTTTTGATGAACAGACGAGTAATTCGATGGTGGAACGAAAGTCAACAAGAAATTCTCATTGATAATGTGTCATGTCATGGTTTAGCGATGGATAAAGATGGATATCCTTATGTTTCTGATTGGAAGAAACATGAAGTGAGAAAATGGAAAATGGGCGAAGGAAAATTAGTTGCTGGCGGAAATGGTCGAGGAAATAATCTGAATCAATTGTATCATCCCGAAAGAGTGATTGTTGATAAATGCGGAGGAAAGGGGTCAAACCAATTGTCGTATCCTCCCGGCTTATCATTCGATGCTGAGGGAAATCTTTATATTGTTGATTTTGGAAATGTACGAATTCAAAAATTTGACTTAGTTTGTTAATAAAAGAGATTTTTTTTATCTTAACAAGAAAATCACTTGAAGGTATACATAAGTTAGAAATCGAGAAAACAGATAAAAATCTTACGAAGAAAAATGAGGATCGATCGAGATGAAAATATTTTAATTCTTCGATCTTGGTACACATGCGCCAAAACACTATCTAAAATAATGTACAATAGATCAGATCAGCTCTCTATAAGAAATTCGTATTTGAACGCTTAATATTACAAGTTTAAAACTAGTTGAACTATGCTCTTCGAAATAAAAATTTACGTGAAATCAATACATTCTCCAGCTGTTTCAGATGATGCAAGGTTATCATTATATGTGCAAGTTCAAGAAGAGAATGTAGATGTGTACTGGAATGATCGATGATTGTGTTTACAGTTCACTGGATATCGTTCTCTTCTATTTATTATATATCCATCATCTTTTCTTGTATAGACATTCTAATATATTGGGAGATAGTTTTCGGATTAAATCCGTATCACTGGCAAGAAAAAAATAAAACAGATGTTCTTTCGTAAAATATCGAACAGTGGTCAGACAAAACAATAAATTAGAACACGACAAGTCAAATTTGTTATTTCTTCATTTTGCCATCGACAGCTCTGATTGCATAATGATCAAACAAGAGAATCTCATTATGTTCAGCAGTGAATCATTTGTAGAGTGTATACTATATGCAGACGCGGGAGATATAGTCGTAGGATAGATCGACCTTTATAAATCATTATACTGTGCAAACTGAAAAGGAAAAGGCAATGACACTTATCTATATTGTGTTAGATATACAAACGAAGGAAATGTTTCGTTTTTTATTTCGAACAGCGCTAAAACGGCAAATTATGTATCCTTGTCAAGGATGTTCGAATCAATTCTGTTTAGAGGATTTAAGTGTGTTTGTGATCGATTCAGAGAAAGTATTCATCGAATTGTTCTCTGACTGAACTGATTTTTATTTTCTCCCTGTTGAAAGTCTTGCTCCTTTCATACTGCTTTGAAATCTTCTCGTTTAGGACTACATTTCAATAAATGGAAGCAAAATGGAGTAACAATATCGAGAGGAAATAGATATGAAAAGCATCTAAATGATGGTATTATATGTTCTCAGTTAACGATAGATAAGTATGGATTTCTTTATGTTATTGACTGGGAAAGAAATGAAATGAGATGACGGAAAATGGAAGAAAAATGAAAAGAAGAATTAGTTGTTGGTGGGAATGATGTAGGAGATCAACTTGATCAATTCAATACTCCTCGATTTATGTTTTGAATAATGCGTTGATACGAAAGAGAAGAAGAAAAATTCCATCAACGAATTAGATTAATAAAAGAACCCAATCAGGTTTATCTTTCGTAAAGCAAGTTGACGACTCAATTCGACCGTCGGCACGTCTCTTGAACTATATACTTCACACAGAAAAATCTTCAGTTCTCCCAGGAGAATAGTTGTACATTTTATAGTTTGCTTAAGTGCACAACAATTGAGTGAAAACGAAAGATACTATAAACAATAAACGATCGAGTTAATCTCATTTGTCACATCTAGTGTGGATTACTGTTTATATTCGATATTGATTACATTGAGAAACAGATCTGTTCGATTCATCATAATAAATTCAAATGCAACAAAGTCGAAGTTTTTATTGTGAAATGAGAAGTGAATTTACACGCAATGTTGTTCTATTCGATGAAAACAAAATGAATGAGGTTAGGGATGAGAGTGAGGAGAAAACAGATGAGTTTGTGTTTATTCCTTTGTGCCAGGAGTTGCGCCAGGTGGTGCAACGGGAGTTTCGGCGATTGTAAATTGATCACCTGACATCCATCCTTGATTTTCAGCATCAGCTTTTTTATGAGGATCATTTGCTGGTGTATCTTGACCAGTAATATGAGCTTCGGCTAATTCAGCAGCTCGAATTGTTTTTTCATCTAAACGAAAGAGAACATTCTTTTACAAAAGAAAAGAGCATACAAGGAATTCTTTACTTGGATTGGCAGAAGAACTCATTGCTTGTTTGCGTTTACTTCGATAAATGTACTGAAAAGACGTTACTTGTTATCTTACGATGTATAATTGCTTATATACTGCTCTCTCGTTCCAGAAATATCCTCATGGATTGTTCTGTTATATGCAGTACAGCCGAAGAAAATATAGATCGATATTTTATCCTAGAGAGAAAGAGGAGAAAAGAGAATTCTCCGCTCGTTTCTTCTCAAGTAGGTCGATGCTAAAAGAAAGATTGATTTTTCTCTCATGTGTGTTTATTACCAAGTAATCAGTGTTTGCTATACTCGTTTCCTTGACGTTGTATAACCACAAGGGGAGAAAAATTCTGATGCAGCACATTTGTCATTGATCTTTCTGATAAACTATCCATCGAAGGTTACTCATATGTCGATCTTTCTACAACATACTCGACGTTTGCTAATACCGAGCAAGTCATACGTCTCTCTAAATATTCGCCGTTCTTATGACGACAACTATTACGTGATAATTCGAGAATCAATATATTCTTCTTTTTATTCTTCCTTCTAGATGTTCAAACGTTATTGTTTGACCTTTGACCTGTCGGGCATATTATCTGATATATTCTGACAGTCGAAGAACGTTCATCAACGACATACTAAATTATCTTTATTTGTTCTATATACACGAAGACAATAAGATTGATTTGTCGTATGCGAGTTTTTGAACATTGGGAAAGTTTTTACAAAGAAAAAAAGAATCGAGTTTAATTCGTTTTCTTTCTATTCAATCGTTTCGTTTCGAAAACGTCCTTTGACCAAAATCGATAAATTAAGATCAACGGGAATACTTGATAATATCCATATCCCAAGGTAAATAAGACTAAATTCTTACTTTTCTCCAAACCAAATATGGCTTGATAGAAGAAATACCCGAGATCGAGAAACAAGACCAATGCGTATAGAAGCATTGGCATACGGATCCATCGTTTCTTGTAACAAATTGCGTAGATTCCAATTAAATAGAACGGTGCAAATACAAATGGAGAAAGAATTGCCAAAACTTTAGTGATTGATTCGTTTGTAAGCAGAAGCGGATCGACATTATGACCCCACCAATAGAATAATTTCAAAATAAATGCTGGCGGCCAACTCCATTTTGATGTATCTTCATCTCGAATTTGTTTATTCATGGGAGCAACAGCATTGATGTAATCAATCGTAAGAGCAATAAGAAAAAATACGAGAAAAGTTCCAACAATAAGTTTATCAATTGATCGCATATTGCGGTTGTATACGAAAGCTTTGTTAAGGAAAAGAATCGCTTATATACATCGCATGTTTATCAATTCTTCACTTTTTTTTATCAACAATCACGCCATATGTGGTAGAACAAAGATATGAGCTGTTGATATTTGGTTTAAATCGAGAAGAGATGATGAAACTTACACCATAGGTAGTGAATATCTATAATAGTAGGTTGATCAAAGTTCAATTTTCGTTCTTCTGTCCATCAAGTGCTGTTGATCTTTTGATACAACAGATTTTTCTGTGACTTCAATGCATCGACAAAGAGCTTTTGCTGGTATTTTATTTATTGATTAGTTACATTCCATATTGTCAATATGTTACAAAAGAATTGCTGTTCATAGATTATTTAGCTGGTGAAACCTTCGATGATAAATCTGGATCTCGATTTTCAAAGAAATCATTAGAAAAGGTTTAGATATTGAATTTCAAAAGTATTAGATTGTGAAACTCGAATATACAAATCAAATAGTGCGGCTTCGTTAGCTCCAAGTCATCGTTGAAATATTCACGAAGTATCTCTCTTATAAGTTCTACCTAAGACTCGTACTAATAGAATATCGTTTACAGTGTATATTATTACTATGAATACACTAGCACGATCTGTTTTTCATTTGTATTGCGCACTTTCTTTCTTCTAAAAATATTTCTTTACGCAAGGTCATATAGTTACGAATACAGTGGTTATGAAAGACAGAGTAAGGAGTATAAATAAATATTGATTTTGTAAATATTTTTCTTTCAGATTACAAATCAGGTCAAAGTATAATTTCTCGTTTAAGGAAATTTTATTGAAAAATATTATAATCATATTCGTATAGTTTCTGATTAAATCAAAGCATAGCTAGCCATGGTTGCAAGGCCGCATTGATTATTTTTATTTCTTGCCATTAGAACGTATCCATCCATACCCCATCGAGTTGTCCATTGGTTTTTCAATATGTAATATTCTTGATTATCTTGTGTTGTACCGTATCCGATGGCCAAAAGTGAAAAATCTAACGTTGTTGATGAACATGATGGTTCAGAGTATACACCTGATGAATAAAAACGAAATGAATCATGACTTGCATCCATCGCAACAGCGACAGGACCGATTGTTGCAAGAGCATCTTGAAGATCAGTTTCCGATCCAGCTTTGATGTCAACATAACTCTTTTTAGAAAGATACATAGTTGAATCGAAATCAAAGAAAAAGATCGAACTTACAGCGACATCCGCCGCAATGGTTTTCACATTAAACCGACATTTTCCATCAACACCTTCATAAGGATAACTTGCATTGGTATCGATTCCATGACTATGCATCAAGTAATTATACGAATTATCCATTAAACCACCGCAACAACCAGAATTTCCATAATCTGTTGAACAATCAACAAGTTGTTGTTCAGATAAAGAAACAAGTTTTTGAGTCTTTTTAGCAAGTTGTCCTTCAAGTGTACCAGTAGTTGAAAATGCCCAGCACGAGCCACATTGTTTTTGGTCTTTTACAGGCGTGACGTATCCTTTCGTACGCCAGTCTAAATCATAACAACAATATTACAATTTGATGCCAACAGAAATGTGAACGCTCTTTACCAACAGATGCTGGAAGTTTTCTGTTTGATGGAATATGAATTTTTCCATTGGATTTATGTTCGGAACTCATTTTCAGTTGATTCATTTGTTTGACGAACTCATCTTGTGTCTAGAATCGCTCAAAAATACGTCTAATTAACAAGATACGACAAATACGAACGAGATCGGCGAATTGATTGACTTTCATTGTGAATGTATGGAGACCTAAATCCGCTTCTAAGTTATGTGTTTGGATCATACGGACATTTTCTTCCCAGATCGTTCGTCTTGCTTCTTCATCGACTGAATTGTATTGTTTTCCATGAAGATTTTTAAATAATTTCCATCCTTGATCTAACGACGGTGTTCGAAGACTCGAACAGAAAGGAAGAAATACAGCGACAATGATGAAAAGAGATAATATTTTCTTCATTTTATTTTCTATTTTTTTTTTGCAAACGCAAACTTCCATTTAAATACTGAAATTTGCCTTTGTCATTGCACAACAGTGATAGTGCATTTGATAAGGATAAACATGCGATGGGAAAAAATGTCTGTCACACAAGAAATGGATATCGAACGGTATTTATCATTTTCTTGTCAATTGTTGGTCTCCTTAGTACTTTCGATATCTTTTACGTATTAAGCACTGCGTAATGTGAAGAATATTTCTACAACTAAAATCTATTTTCTCCATCAGAGGTTAATATCTGTGAAAAATAAAGTATTTAATGTTTCGGTACCTACAATATGTTCTGTGATTGGAGTCATCAGAGACAATATACCACGTACTTCTTGTTTCGAAAGATTCAGGAATTTCTGATCAAAGTTGGCATTGTTAAATTATTTTACAAATATATAATCATACACGATACAAATCGAATATTTACGACGGCAGATCAGGTTCAACTGAAAAATATTAAAAACCTTTTTTTTTCATTTTTCGAATGACTTAGTGTATTATGGTCTTTCGTCATTTCCTTATTCCCAATCGCCTAGTTGTGTTTATCTGTCAATCAGCCATTAAGGACGTATGACAGTCGAGACACCTGGCATATTTCGTACGATTTCGAACAGCGCAGAGAATTTTCAATAATTTAAACATGACTACGAACGAGACACTTACATACTATCATTGTTATGGTTAAAAACGAAACGATTTAAGGAGTGTACTAACTCTAATAAAATTTTCAATTATAAAATATTATCAACCGCGAAAGTTTATAGTTTAAAAAAAGCGGCGTATAACGGTGGCGATGCCGAGGATTTAATGTCATTTAATAGTTCTCAATCCAATTTATACGCGAAACGTTTTTCAATTAAATTTGATCGCTCTTGATCAGAGGTACTTGATCAGGGTCCAAATAGATCGATTTTTCAGGTTTAGTCCATGGCCAGATAGCTAATTGCCGTGTGATGAGAAATGCAACGACGACAGCAACCATTATATAGCAGTTGATCTTAAATATATCCCACCATAGTGCTTCAGAATCGAATGGCACAAATGCTTCTGTCGTTGTCTCTAGTACCATTGGAGATACATTAGACTTGTTTACTACATTTCCATTAATACACAACTGAACAGGCGTATTATAACACATGCCATTGCATGCTTCAATTTGACTCGCTTTAGGGTAACCATAGAAAAGCGAGCTATTACAAGTTGTGTTCCCATTGATACACAGTTGACCTTTTCGAAGACAACGTTGGCCACATACTTCAAATTGATAACAAAGTGTGTTGTCAAGACATACTTGCTCTTTAGGATTATAACAGCGTAATTGGGAATCGAACTGCGTGCTCCAACTACTGTTCTGTACGAAGCACGAATTTTCTTCTAAACCGCACAAAGTTCCATTCGAACAGTTATGTGTTAATGGATCGTAGCAGATACCAGAGCATGACTCAATTGTAGTTGATTGTGAAGCATTGTTATAACGCCACTCCTTATTCGAATAGTTGCATACTGTCTTATTTCTCATGCACAATTCATTTTCACGAAGACAGTGTTCACCGCACACTTGAGATTGTTCGCAGAGGATGTTGTTGAGACACAATTGATAGTTTGGATTATAGCATACTGGTTGCGGCAAATCATACCATGCACCATATTTCACATAACACAAGTCTGCGTCCACGCCACATAGGGTTCCATTGATACATCTGTGCGTCGATGAATCGTAGCATACACCGGAACAGTTGTTATTGTTAATGCACTGGATTCTAGCATCTATGCATTGCTGAAGTCTAGAATCGTAACAGATGCCATTGCATGACTCAGATGCGTTGAGCCAAGATCCTTGATTATAACGCCAGTGTTGGTTACGTGAATTGCAAATTGTTTTACCCTTGGTACACAGTTGATTTTCGCGAAGACACTGCTGACCACAAGCTCGAGTTTGATCGCAGAGTGCATTGTTGAGACATACTTGATATTTAGAATTGTAACACTGATATATCGGTGGATTATACGGTTGGCCTTGGTCATCATATTTCACATAGCACACTTCTGCATCCGAAGCACACAAAGTTCCATTCCAACATGTATGTGTCGATGAATTGTAGCATGCTCCTGAGCAGTCGTCATTACCAATACACTGAAGAATATCATCAATGCATTCGTAGACATTGGAATCATAGCATGTACCATTGCATGACTGATTTAGATTCGAACTAGATCGGTAGTTATAGTAGAGCTTTCTGCTTGGTAACTGACATACTGTTTTGTTATTGATACACAGTTGATTTCGTTCAAGACATTGTTGATTACATACTTGAAATGGACGACAGAGACTGTTGTTGAGACACAATTGGTAGTTTGGATTATAGCATACTAAGTGTGTATAATTTCCCACGTCCCATCCAGCAGATTTCACATTGCAGAAATCTTCGTTCACCTGACACAAAGTTCCATTGAAACAATTATGCGTTGAAGAATTGTAGCACGTCCCAGAGCAGTTGTTATTATTAATGCACTGAATAGTACCATCTATGCACTGTTCAAGCGTCCGATCATAACAGATACCATTGCAAGAATCATATACAGTCAATGTTGACCAGTAGTTATAAGACAGCATTGTGTCACGTGAGCTGCATATTGTTTGATTATTGATACACAGTTGACCTCGTTGAAGACATTGTCCACTACATAGTTGATATGAGCGACAGAGTGTGTTGTTAAAACATGTTTGGTACGAAGGATCGTAACACTGATTTGATGGCAAAGTATTGAGTTGACCTCGTTCGCTGTATTTAACGTAGCACAGATCTTGACTCATAGAACATAATGTTCCATTCAAACATTTTCGCATTGATGAATCATAACATGTTCCAGAGCAGTTGTTATTGTTAATGCACTGGATTGTACCATCAATGCATTGTTCAAGTTTAGGATCGTAGCAGATATCATTGCATGACTGGTACGCAATGAAGTTGACAAAATAGGATTCTTTGTTACGTAAGTTACAAATTGTTTTATTACTAGTACACGCTTGGCCTTGTTGGAGACATTGTTCACCACATAGTTGAGATCGGGAGCAGAGAGTATCGTTGAAACATGCTTGATATTCAGGATTGTAACACGCATGTGCGGTAGAGCCGTTCATAGTTGAAGATTGCATGCTGTGCTTAATAGTACATAGCTGTTCCGACCATCCACATATTATGCTATTGAAACATTTATGCGTATCCGGATTATAGCAACTATTTCCACAGGTGCCGATGCATTCAGGTGTTTCTTCTGGATTAGTGCACCTTTGCGTGAATGGATCGTAACAAGTACTCTCTCCGCATAATAGTTGCGAATAGGGGCAGATTATTACTGGCCTTGACGTGCTTGTAAGATTTCTTATAGCACTTGAAATACCAAAAAGAGCAATCCAAATGCACAACCTCAGATATCGCTGTTGATTACTCAGTATAAACATCTAGTCACATCAAATCAATAGTTCGAGCTGCAGCCGAGTACAAATTGTTCCTATTAAGATAGAATTCATTTTCATAACGTTTTCAGGCAAATATTTTGTACAAGTGGAAAAGATTTCGTACACTCAAAAATAACATGTCTTACCTGTACGCTGTTTAATACAAAATGTTTTCAATGATATTTCGTATCTTTGCGCGTTAGACGCATGTATGGTTCACTGAACTTCTCAATGAGTCAGATCTCCGAGTTTTCTTCGTTTTTTTTTCATGAGAAAAAAATCGCTTTTCGAACGGTGTCTCAAACGCATAGGGACACCCCTTACAAGGTAACATAAATCGAAGCAAATGTAATGTTCGATTGTGTGATTTTAGTTCCGAGAGAAAAACAAGTCACATTACGAATATATTTTCGTTGACGTAAATAATTGAGGCGAAAAATCGTAAGATGTATAAATTGATTATGATTTGTGTAAAACAACTATACAACGTCTAGTTTATTTCCAAGACTTCATTCACTACTAATTCACATGATTCTCTTTACACTCAAGCATTAGATGAACTTGTCAATGAATATGAATTCAAATATTCTTATGTAATATTTAAAGACATAAATGAAATACTACTCGCTGTTGAAAGACTGCTTAAATTCTACGAAGAACGTTCCATCCGTTGTTGTTGTAGATACTAAAAACCTTGTCAAACCTTTATCTTTGCTTTTCATTTCTTCTACTTGGATCATATATGCTTGAATTCCTCTTCTGAACAAAGCACTGTTCGTTATCTTCATCAATAAAATAAACGCAGCTGGCTACAATACTCTTTATTATATTACACTATATTTCCTTAATGCTCTATCGATCTCATTCCGCATGCTCAAACACTGCGACGATAACTATATTCGTGAATCATCTTACAGTGTTAGGAGCTGTTCAAAAACTACTGTTATTTAACGTGATCCCAAGATCGTGAGTAATATAGCGATAGTTCAGACGTATTTGTAATGATATTGTAAGATAAAAAAGGCCAGAATCCGTCTTCGATAGACGACGGGTATAATATATACTGCCAGTAAATTCGCATGGGAGACGAGTTCAAAAAGTCTGAATTACAAGTTAATAATGGCGGTGACGTCAATAAGTTTGTATCATTACTTTAGAATTGATCACTTTTCATTAGCTGAATTCGATCGGAGTCTGAAAGAATAGACTTTTCAGCTAAAGGTGAGGGCGAGGAGATACATAACCGTAATATACCATAAAGTACAACGCATAAAGCGATTATAATATAGCTGGTCATCTTATATAGATTCCACCAAATCGGACGATAATCTGATGGTATAGGTGTTGTTATTGTCGTCTCTGGTAGCGATGAAGTTGTAGTAGAGCTGATTGTTACATTTCTGTAAATACATTGTTGAAGAGACGTATCATAACAAACACCATTGCATATCTGAATCTGATTAGCTTCATAATTATTATACGCCAACGTAACGTTACATATTGTGTTATTATTAACACATATTTGGTGATTTCCAAGACACTGTTGGCCGCATGATCGAAAACCACGAGTACAAAGTCGGTTGTTGTGACATAGACTATATTTAGGATGATAACATATCGAATATGGACGTTGCTCAATTCCCCAATCATCGTATTTTACGATACACAAATCTGCATCTAGGTCGCACAAAGTACCGTTGAAACATTTCCTTTTCAATGGATCGTAGCATATTCCAGAGCAAGCGTTATTATTAATGCATTGAACAGTATTATTAACACATTGTCCAACTGAAAGATCATAACATGTGCCGTTGCAGGATTCGACTGTAGTCAAGTTTGACATATGAGTAAGATACCATTCTGGGTTAGGTGAGTAACAGACTGTTTTATTATTACTGATACATAACTGATCTGGTCCTAGACATTGTCCATCGCATAAACTAGATTGAAAGCAGAGTTTGTTGTTGAGACATACTTGAATGTTGGGATTGTAGCATCGTAATCCTGAATCATATCCCATACCCCATTGAGTGTAGTTCACATTGCACAAATCTGCATACAGACTACACAATGTTCCGTTTAAACATTTGAGTGTGGATGAATCGTAGCATCTTCCGGAGCAGTTGTTATTGTTAATGCACTGAATAGTACCATCGACGCATTCGTTCACTGCAGAATCATAACAATTGCCGTTACATGATTCAATCGTAGTGAGTGTTGATCCACCGATGTACAGAGGATTACCTAATGGACGATTACATGTTGTTTTATTTCTGATACAGAGCTGTTCTCCTCCAAGACATTGTTGACCGCACACACTATGTTTGTAACAAAGCGTGTTGTTGACACATATTTGATCATTAGGATTGTAACATTGATATGACGGTGAATTATATTGCGGGCCCCATTCATTGTATTTCACAGTGCACAATTCCTCATTAAGTTCGCATAAAGTACCATTCAAACATTTTTGTGCTGATGAATTATAACATGTACCAGAGCAATTGTTATTATTAATACACTGGACCGTATTATTAACGCATTCTTCATCGACAACATAGTAACATGTACCGTTACATGATCCAATCGAAGTGAATCTTGATCCATAATTATAATACCTGTATACGTTAGATGACTGGCATATTGTTTCGTTATTGATGCACAGCTGTTTTCCTTGGAGACATTGTTGACCACACACTCGATATAGATCGCATAGTGTGTTGTTTACACATGCTTGACGCTTAGGATTATAGCACTGATTTGATGGTGAATCATATACTTTTGAAGCATAAACTTCGTACTTGACAGAGCATAATCGTTCATATCGTTTGCACAATGTGCCATTTAAACATCGATGTGTATCTCGACTGTAGCATTGATCTCCACAGGCATTAATACATTGAACAGCTCTATCGGAGTTCGTACAGTTCTGTGTAACTGGGTCGTAGCAAGTATTCTCGCCGCATAGTAATTGTGGCTCAGGACAAACTTTTACAGGTTGTGACACATTCAAATGATCGATTAGAGCATTTGATGCACCCAAAACAGCAAGTAAAATCCACAAATTCATATATCGTTCCTTACCATTTAGTGTAAACATGACTTGCATAATTCACTTCTTCGATACTGTCAAACTAAAACAAACAAATTAGCTTCTAGCCGTAATGAAATCGATCATGCAATCAATGTCTGAGTCACTCTCATGAACAAATCTGATCACACCATAGTCGTAACTGCAACGTTAGTCACGTCTGCATTTATATTTCATACAAACTTTCAGTACGCGAAGAAAATTTTGATGTACCTGAAAGGGTCATGATTTGTTCTCATATGCACACTGTCTCATTCGTAAATGCTTCCTAATTCTTTCTAGTGTGTTTTTCTCCGCATTGAATCGCGTATGACTCATTCAGATTCCTTCCGTTCTTTCTTTTGATAATTACAGACGTTGAAAAACTTTATGTGGAAATATTTCTCATCAAATAGCATAAATCGAAACAGATATAACATACACTAATGTGACACTAGTTCTGACTAAAAATACTGATCATATTATGAATATTGCTAAATTATTAGAGAATAAACCTATGCTTTTTTCGTGCATTTCTTAACTAAATACCCTTTCTCACTTGCGACATCTATGTTAAAGAGTATCAACAGAAAAAAAAAACTAAATTACCCTTGCATTGTAGATTCTTCAAGTGAGAATAAATGCTATCGCTAACCCTTATCAGTGATGTTTGCCGCTTTTGGTAACCTCGCTTCAAGAATGTGGTCAACTTCATAGCAATCTTGAAGGTGATGGCGTCTTTGCTGCAACGCAAAACGGCAGCTATCTTCAGAATAGCATTGACTTCAACCTATGAAAATATCAACGAAATTAACAATGTTAATGTAAAAATGCGAGTCAATAAGTAGTTTGGGATGAAGATTGGTCGTTCTTGATCAGTTGAATTTGATCAAGATCCGGATGAGACAATCGCAGTATACAATAAACCACGATGCAGAAAAGGATTATTATATAGCAGTCAATGCTAGATAAACCCCATAATATCCAACGGTGATCAAATGGTACACGTACTATTGTGGTAGAAACTATTTTTAAATCTCCGCATACACATCGTGTTATTATTAACACATAACACGATTATTTTGTAGACATTGCTGTTTGCACGAGCGAGAAGCACGATTACAAACTGTGTTGTCGTAATATAACTGCTCTATTGGATCATAGCATTGGTCCGTATACAGAGAACATGTGTCATTTATTTGTTGACGTAAAGTGCATATTGTTCCATTCAAACATTTGTGCATGTATGCAATGTTGAATTGAGCTATTATAACATATTCCATTGCATGACTCAACTGCTGTCAATGTTGATCTGAAAACATAATACCAGTCGTCTTTAGGAAAGTTGCATACTGTCTTGTTTCTGACACACAATTGGTTTCCTTCAAGGCAATGATGATTACATACTTGTGATCGATCACAGAGTGTGTTATTCAGACATGCTCGAGCTTTAGGATTATAGCATTGATTGGATAATGAATTGTGTGCTTTTGAAATGTATATATCGTATTTAGCAGTGCATAACTGTTCGAATAATCTGCATATGGTACCGTTTGAAACAATGATGCATGTTTGAATTGTAACATTGATTTTCACAGACGCTGACACACTGAGTAACTTTACCGTGTTCCATGCAAATTTGTGTAGCGGGATCGTAGGAAGTATCCTTACCAAATAATAATTGTGAATCGGGGCATAGTTCCACAGGTTGTGATCTACCTAAATGATCCTGTAGAGCATTCAATATACCAAAAATCGAAATCAGAATCCATCCACTCAACCATTGCTGTCGACCATTTAGTGAAAGCATCTTTTGTCAGAGTCGTTTAGTCAAAATGATCGAATCGTAAAACACCGCTTGTATGTGCTTTCTTCCTATCAAGAAGAAAAACGAATTCGGAATATATCATTTTATACTTGTTTTACCAAATCCACACATGCGCATTTACTGTTCTATCCTCGCCTGCCATCGCCTTGGTGCAATGGTGCGAACCGAAAGAAATATAACATGCGTTGATGGGACTAGTCTTGACTAAAATATAGAAGCTATGCGTTGACTTTGTTTTCACATTTACTAATATAATCATGACGCATGATTGCACGTCATATTCTCAATGAAATATCGATGTACTACACATGTTCTCTTTACAAGATTGATTTCACATGGTTTATTTTTTCTTCTGAAGATTGGGTCGTTCACAAAAAAAAATATTCAAGGAAAGCGAATAGAAGAAAGGCGAAAGCACTAAAGAATTCATAAGTTATCATATTTATATGGCAGTTATTGTTCGAAAGAAGGCAAATTTATTTGCGAATGATTCTTGCCGCTTGATCATTACTTTTAGGTTGAGCAGGTGCTAACTTTGTCGCCGGATTTGGTCGCCTGCCGCCTGCAGAAGTCGAATTAGCTCCGCCGTTCGGTTGATTTCCAATATTTGAAAGCATATTTATATCGGAAACTTTATTTTTTGTATCAGGTAAAATACAAAACAGGATCAATCCAAATATTCCTAATGCCAATCCGACGGACAGGATTGCATAAGTTAAAGGCGCAAACGACCACTTGAAAACTAATAAGACAATGATCAGAGTGCCACAACTTATAATATACGCAATCGATAGGACAATTGTTTTTTTACATTTACCGAGATACACGACAACAGCTAACATTGTCGTGAAGAAACCGATAAGGGCAATGGCGATACCCAATTGATCCAAAACACTTTTGGTTGATTGATAACGAAGGATCCACGAATAACACCAAGCAGTAGCATCGGATATATTGCTCGGGAATGTAGACTTCGTTAAGGGTTCGCAAATAAATGTAGCATTTTGGGTTATGGGACTAAAAGCACTGCCTTTAAAAACAAAACAATCCATCGAATATTCTGGACAATCGTCACCGGGCACAAGTCGAACATCTGTCAAGACGCAGCCTTGAAACATGATCACAGCTGTAATGGATAAGATCATTCCACCAATGAAGCAGCAAAATATTCCGACGAAGAGAATCGATCTTTGCTTGATCATAGAAAATAACGATTTTCGCTCAGGGGATGACCCACCAATTGTGCCGGAAAGATCTTTGATATTGATTTGTTGCCCATTATATTGATCGTAATCATCGTGTGCTTTTGTTGGATTGACGCCAATAACTCGCTCAATAACAAATTCCTGGCCCTTCTTTGAACTGAAGAACGTCGCAAATACACCAACGATAGCTGTAAGTACCAAACCGACAGTGATGCCGTAATTTGCTACGGTGTAAGTCGTATAAGACCACCCCATCTTGCTTTTCACAGAGAAGAGTATACGAAATGACTTTTTCTCTCACAAACCGTAATTTTCTTCTATATTATCAAGTGGTAAATGCAATTTCTCTCGAGAACTTTCTTCCTAAAACAATGAGCAGAAACTACGGTGATAAAGAGAAATGCAAAACAGATCGCGTATATGGCAATAAAAATAATGACTTCCTTTCCTTTGTACTTTTAACTGTGACCCTTTGTGTTTTTCTGTGTATGTTCTCGATTGATTATGTAAGCGAGGAAAAGCAAACGCTTCTACTTCATTGACTAAGAAAAAAGAAAAAAGAAATCGGACGAATCTTGACGGGCAATTGTCGGTGTTTGTTTTCCGTGACATCCTCAAATTCATATACACTGAACAACAAACACGAAGCATTCTCGGAAAGAGTTGCATGGCACTTTTATCATATGTGATGTGATTCTTTGAAATTCATCGAGGTGGGTGAAGATGAAGAAAGATGATTAAATTGAAGCAACATGTTGCTTTCCTCAATTTTTGCGAAAGAACTTCTTGCATATTTATTTGTATGCTGCCGACTTTTAAGTAAATTAAAACAGAAAATTCAATACAGCAAAAGTCACACTCACTACCGGAAATTCCTTTTCTTTAGAAAATTTGCCGTAATTGTATCTTCACTAGCGTTTGTCGTCAAATTCGTCATTCAATAAACACATTTGGCGGACAGAAACTTTGAAGAACGACGTAGAAAGTCTAATGAATTTTTAATAGGTCTCATTGCTTTGCCAGAACACTCTTTTAAGGTTTTCAAATTGGAAAACACTTTAATTAAAAAGCATAATTCTACGCCTTTACATCTGTTGTTCGCATTGTCAAGAGAAATGAAATGGATTCGATGATGTGATGGTTTTCTTGTCGGAAAAGCGTTCAACTAGGGAAAAGAAATGATTTCTGAATCCAATTTCAATCGAAATTCACATCTGTTAGATCTTTGATAAAAATGAAAGCTTTATTTGATTTGTCTTTTTATCAACCAATGTAAGATAAAATAACATTCGTTATCTCTTGTGTTTCATGCAGTAAAACGAAGCAAGTTAAGAATAAAGACTTGATTGTTGTGAGATGACGACGTCTACACAAATTAGTGAGTTTGAAGAGGAAATTTTTCATCGGATTCAGATTTTATTATAAAGATTGTTCGATTCCTGACGCATGTGGAACATTCGGATATTGTGAAGAGTATTTCAATGGTACAATGGCATGCGAATGCAAATTTTGGTGGACAGGAGCACGATGTGATGAATGTAATCATATTTGTCTGAAAATCTTCATCGCAAGAGAGAAATTTCTTGTTTTAGTGTCAGGCAGTGGCAAACAAGTGATTGCTCTAGGTGCTATTACAGGTCTTTTAGTCATTGTTTTCTACAGTCTAACTGTATATCGTTGGATTAGTAAGAAACCACGTGAATCAACAAAAACCTATACTGATGAGCCGATCGGTGATACGCCATTTGTGCTGCATGTTGCAAAAATCAGAGCAAAATGTGATAGTTCGTCTTGGATAACGTTGTTTGGAACTATAATTCTCGCTTTGTGTGCGACGATGATTAAATATTTCAACTTGAAAAGTATTCACACAGAAATCATCGATAAATTGAACAATAATCAATCGTTATTCTATAATCGTCCTTCGTTTTGCAGTTCAGTTTATGTCAAAGCCGGGTTCAATGTCATTACTTTCCCGATCGCTTGTTTTCTTATTCTTCTGTTTGCTTTTATCTCCAAACGACAATCATCGAAAGCAAATCAATCTTGCAGAAACTACATCGCTGCACCGATCCCATTGGACTTTTTCACATGTGTTCGACGAACATTTGCCGCAGTCATATTCGCTCTTTTTGCCGATGAGTTATCCACCATTGCTAATCAACTTATCAATGGAAATACTGTAACAACAGACCAGGGTTTACTCTTTTTTTTATTACGATTTTCTCGAACGTTTCTTTCTCAATTATACAGGAATAATCTTCAATTATGCTCTTCAAATTTTCCGCGTTCTAACCATCGGCTTTCGATGCTATCCGATGCTAGCAGCTGTGCATATGAACAGTCGACTTAGTCTCTTCTGTGCCAGTCTTTATGCTTGGTTGGATTTCGGACTGATCATCGCATCGGATGATGTTTGTCAAAATCATTATTATCTCTCCGATTTGAACTATAACAAAGATTTGGAACTCGAATACATCGCGTATTTTGACTTTTACGGCAAAGGATCGAATTTGATTTTGCTTCAATTGTTAGTCGATATTCCCCGGTATTGCTTTTTGGGATATATCAGTGCGAAACTGCCGAGTTTACTTTGGGAGAGAATTCGAGTGAAACGCATCGAGTTGAAACCATTGACGAGTGAAGAAAGAAATCTTCTACATTCGTCAGAAATGAATTCAACAGAATTTCGATATGTGGCGAGACTGTTTCGCTCGGGCAATCAGCTAGAATTACCATCCAATCGACTTGCACGCATCTTTCGGAAAATTTACTATTGGCGGGATGATTTTCAGTTTTCTTCCCGTGTTCTTTGTGTTTATGCGTCGATATTCTGCGTTCTGTTCTTTCTTACCACACAGGTAAACAACGTAGATCTTTGGAAAATTGGAATTTTCTAAGAGTTATTTGTAGGCGTGCGTTCAAGTTGTTCCAATTCTCGACACACTTCACAATACTTTGCAAATGGCTCTGGATGCCCTGACGAAAGACGAATCTCGACTGAGAGCGTCAAGTTCGACTTTTCCACTTCCTAATTTAGTTGCACCTTTTCTGATTGCGATGTTCGTTGCTGTGTTTGTAACCGTAACACAATTACTCGTTTTGTTGACTTCCATTCGTCGGAATCTTCTACAAGCATTTCGTGGCAATAGTACCGAAATTACACCATATGATCCTTCGAAGAATGTCAATTATGCTGGCCAAAATATCCATTTCGGCGGGTATCTAATCGCTTATGTTCTTTGGGCGTACGTTCTAACTGCAACTTTCACGATGATTGTCACTACGATTATTAATGTTCTCATTACTTATGGATTGATCAGACCTGTTGAATCCGTTGTGAAACTCATGATTCCGCCGGTACTCTTTGCGCTGTTTCAAATGCATCTGAATAAAATCATTGCTCAATACGTGTTTCTTCAACAAGCCGGTGAAGTTCTATCGATGAACCATCGTCGAATGGTGATGATCTTCTTATATTTTAACTTTTTTCTCGATGCATTTCTCGGTTTGATTTCTTCGATCATGCGTGTGATAAAGAGTGCAATCGGAGGAGTGATTTATATGTCTCGATTGGATTATTCTCCAATGGGTCGAAAACTGGAAACCTTCGATGCAGGCTTCAGTGCCTATTGTGCTTTTATTCATATTGAATGTGCGCATCGACATCCCGTGTTACTTTACTTCGCGAGTCTTCTACTTCGTGAACATTTGTACGGAACGGAGGCAACGCACTGGTCGAAAGCGAAACGTCGATGGCATTTAGCTGTATTTTTATTACGGAACCCAACGTTGATCTATCGACGAAAGAAATCGTCTGTTGAATCTTCAATGAATCAGCGGATAATGTTCATCGGCAGAAGAAATATCAAAACGATGAGTGTCGACGACTCAAAAACAATAAGAAAAAACAACTGCGAACGATTATGAATCATCCTCGCAGCATACTCCTAATTTGTTCCCTTCTGCGCGCAAATACGGCCAAGATCGACATCTTTTTCTTTTTTATTTTCATTGGTTTCAAAAGATACTCAATAAATTTCAACTAGTGATGTGATTGCAATGATTGATTTATTTGTATATGACTTGACATCTCGAGTCATATACACAGTGTATATACATGAGAGTGGATTTGTGCTCGGATGCCTCTCCCTGTCGTTCTCTTACGTGCTTGCTTGTTGCTCTCCTATCCATAAATGTCACAAACACAGATATTTTCTGTTGCATGCGTGCCGCACAATGAATCACGCGTTGTTTTCTTTGTAGAAGATTGTTTTGCTGTAAACGTTGAAGTAACAATAATCTTCCAATGGGTTGTATAAAAAAGGTGTTCCGATCTTCTACATTCCATAGTTTTCTTTTGTTTTTGTTTACGCAAATTACTTGTTTATATTCGAACACAAACAGAGAAGGTGCACCGTAATTAAGCTTCTTATTGACATCAGTTAGAGTGCAGCAACTCGTGCGTTTTTTTTGCTTTCTTTCCATGTAGCCTACGTTCTCATCATGTTTCAAATTGTATGACTGTACATTGTTCACGTTTATGAGTGTTTATTTTCTTTTTATCGACAAATATACATATAACGCATGTTAGATTTCTTTTTTTTACGAGGGATTGATTAGAAAACGTCGACTTCATATCAAACAGACGTCGTTGGGTCGTACTTTTACTTATTATTTTTCTTCTCCTTTCTTTGTCGTCTTCTCATTGGTTATTTGAGTACTTTTGACTACTATAGAAACGCGCATACTCGTGGATTGCTTATCTAGATTTTTGTTTGTCGATTTCTTTTCATAATAAAATCCAATGTAACTGTTTAGATAGGAATCACACGTCTCACGTCCAATATTGGTGATGGACAACAATGAAATTGAACGTATGGATGATGACGACGATGTTCAAATTTCAGTTCAAGAGAATGGTGGAATACCTTATGATGAAATCTCTGTCGAAGCTACTGATGATACACTTGATATTTCAATCTTGTCGGAACCTATAAATCAAGAAGACGTGCAACGACGAACGTTTTCTCATTGGCCACATCGCTCTCCCGAATTTATTAATCAAATGATAGAAGCTGGCTTTTATGGGTGTAATGCGGACGATCGTGTTATTTGCTTCGAATGCGATCTTGGCGTACAATGTTGGAGACCTCATATCGATGATCCATGTGATGTTCATCGAAGACATTCACCTAATTGCAAATATGTAAGGTCAAAACTATTAGGACTTATAACGGGCCCATCATCATCTCCACCGCCACCACCACCTCCGCCACCAATGTTTGTGATCGTTTTCAGTTCAACAGTAAATCCTGTCATAAAATTAAAAAATGCATCACATAATATGTATCTCCGTCAACTTGAAGGAATGGTACCAAAACAAGGGCAGCGTCCTGATTATGCAGAAATTTCAAAGCGGATGGAATCATTTGCCAGTAGGTCTTATCAAACGTCTCCATCTGCTGATGATTTTGCTCGTGCAGGATTTTTCTATACCGGTGTAAAAGATATCGTCACTTGTTTTTACTGCAACGGAACTTTACAAAACTGGGGTGCCAGTGATAATCCAATGATTGAGCATGCCCGTTGGTTTCCAGATTGCGGCTATGCTCAGCAATTATGTGGTAACGATCGACATCGAGCAATTCAAGAGGCACAGCGTCGGCAAAGTACATTCTTGAAACTTCTACGCCTACTAATGTATAATCTGTTTGTTTTTATCTATTTAGGTGAAACCGCAACTAATATGTACCAACGTGGGAATTTAGCTAGTAGATCAGATGCGAGTAATTTGACTATCAATAGGCTTTTGACCATATCTGACGAGAGCACTTTAAGTCGATTGGTTGCTGCTCGATTGGGCTTATCGATATCGTGCAGATTAATAGACGAAGGTTTCAAGTTGTCCATTGTTAGACAATGCTGGGAGGATCAATTGAAAATTAAGGGTAGGTGTAAAAGCTATTGGGTCCTTCCTGTTTTAAGCTTGAAGTTATTTTATAGAGCAGGACTTCGTCTCAGTAGCCGATATTCGGATTGCTTGTTCAATTGTTGTAAAACAAACTGAACGAATTGCTGGTAATAAGAAAAATATTCTAATACTTCACGATAGCATGGGACAAGTCCAACAAAATACAGGTATGATTAAGGTTTAATTGAGATTTCCTTTTCATCTCTTTTTCTTCTATTGAAGCTCGTTTCGATCAAGTGTTACAGAGACAATCGACTCAAAGGAACAGAACTGGATCAAGTAATCATTTGTCTGAGACAACAGTGCCGTCAACAACGCCATCAATGACGGAAACAACAGTCAACAATGAAGCAGTAGATGCGCCAAGAAACACCGACGAATCGTTGAACTTATGCGTTATCTGTCTGTCAGAAGAGAAACGATTAGCCTGTATACCGTGTGGGCATCTCGTCGCATGTGTTCCGTGTGGTTACTCACTGAAAACGTGTCCCATGTGTAGAGCGAACATCGATGCATTTGTTCGAATTTACCTGTGATTCAATTGAAAAAGATCGTGCTCACTCTAGTATACACTTTCAGTCACAACGTATCGTGATTATGACTNTTGTCCATGACCTATTTTAAAAACAAATGGGTGACCTCGATCGTATGATGAATCAAATTTCACTCCATTCGATTTTAACACTCCCTAAGAATGATCAAGCAGATTCGTCTCTTTTATATTGTCAATTCAAATTGAACAAACCGTATATTGCATGTATAGAGTATCGCCAACTTTTGATCGTTTCGAACAATTCGGCGCTTTCTTCGTTGTCATGACTTGCAATTTCTCTTGTGCAAATGATGACACATTTGCAAACAGATTCACGATGACTATGAATAAAACAATCAGAATTATTCGAGACTTCATCTAAAATATTATTCACAAACGATTGATAAAATATCCGCAATGATTACATCACGTGAAGAGGTCAATGTACAAATCTTGCCCTCATCTTTTTTCTTTTCTGCAAAAGAAGGAGAACATACATACAAACATCAGTCAATGATCATTTATCCATATATAGAACAGCGCTTTTTCTTTTTTCTTTCTTTTGTCTGTCCTGCGAATTGTACATAGGAGAAGATATTCCTTCGAGAAAGTGCACATGATGTTGTATGATAGCGTCATTGGCTAATTTCTTCGATGATACATGAAAGTGGTTGAAACGGCTGTCGTTTTGATATTTTTCAATAAATGTGTCTTTTAAATCTCAGTTCGATGCCTATTGACACGATCATTCATCAAATTGATGAAGTTTTCCAACTGTTTGTTTTGATATTCGCCGAAATAGAATACGCAGAGTCATTTTCTATAACCACATAACTGACTGTTATATATTCGCTTATACACACGTGCTGACATCTGATTATAGTCAATGAGATAAAATATTATATCTGAAATACAGTTCTCGAACATATCGATTCAATAGACTGGTAATCGCCTAATCAAAAGATTTCATCGATTCTTTAATTCTATCTTTTCTTTGTCACACGTATTTCGATCATACATCTATTTTCGAAAACAACAACGAATATGGCGTCTAATCGTACAACATCAAATAACAATCAACAAGGTGATAATGGTGACGATTTTCAAGTAAACAAGCATCCGTGCGTGAACGACGTTATAGCCATTAGGCGTGATAGTTGTAAGTATAATGGAACATGTCTCTACTGCATTTTAAATCATTCCGATCTCGATTAACTTCTTAGAGATGTTCAAAACTGCCAAAATAAATCAAACAAAAGATGATCATATTGTTATTAACATGTTTCATAATAAACTTGATAAAAAGGCTGTGCATATCATTCCTGAAGACATATTAGTAAACTTTGGTACGTACGGGACGAACACACCTTTCATATTCAACGAAAAAAAACAAAAGACTTTGATACGTAAAATCAACGAAATTGATATGTCATCTGGTCGCCCTATTGGTAACACACATCGGTTTTCAATTATATTCGAGATATTAATTGTGATTCTCACATTCGAATAATCAACGACCTACAGATAAAAAATAACGTAAGTGTGTTTCTATCTGGAAAAGCTTTCGCAAAGGGATAATTTGTCTTTCTTTCTCCGTAAACAATAGGCAGATCATTCCTTGACGAACTGACAAATTTTGTTTCTTCTTTCTCATTGTTCTCGATGCGTATATCAAGAGATGACGAACAGTTTCTTTTCAGTTGGTGCAAAGTATGCAATTCACAATTCAATCAATGGTGGAAAAGATTATTCTTGTCGATGATCATTACCAACTACTTAATGAACTGATCGGTAATAGCTCAATTGATACAAATAAAATCGTTTTGTGTGTTACGGATCACATTTCGGACATACAAAGCGAAAATCATCTCCAACAATTGGCCAAAATAATGATCGCATTACAATGCTTTGACAAGAAATCTTTGAACGTCATCATTGATCAAGTTGATTCCATGAATAACTAGCACTATACTACCCTCCAACATATCGCATTCGAACCCAACCAACACTGCAACCTTTCTAATTGTATTTTTTTAATCTTTCATCTACGAGACATAAGTCATGCATCTCTTTTCTCTCCTGCCAGCTTTATAACCAGTCTGTCCGTTGTTTGTCTCTTCTCTCTCTCCTTTTGTTCTGTGTTTTCCTCCTTTTCCAGTAAACTGGTTGTTTAATTACAAATAAAGTGTTGACTCCAAAATAAAACTCAATGATTGGTACTGAAAATGTTCCTTTGAAAAAGAAGTTTATTACAAGATTACTTAAGGAAACAAGTAAGAGACAACCACTTTATCTGAAAAGCATAATGATATTGCTCTTTTGCATAGGTTTTTTATCAAAGAGAAAAATTCTGCTACTCTCGATTCATTCATAGCTAGTTATGTTCACTTATGTGCAATGATTGCGTCGTGGTGGTGCTGATATTTTTCTGTATCTTTATGTGATGTAGTAACAAAAGAAATTTTTCTGCAATAAAAGATTAGTGTCATCGGCAGGCCGGAAAAAAAATTTCAGGGGGGGGGGGGGTAATGAAAAAATTTTTCAGTTATTATTACTACAGATATTCGTTTTTTCTGAGGCGAAAAAAATTTATTGCCTTTTCAAAAATCTTTCAGGGAGGGGGGGGGGGCAATTGTCCCGCTCGCCCTCCCCCTCTGGCTCGCCGATGATTAGTGTACTGGTTGAAGGAATTTTATTGAAACATGTTGGGAAGGAGATCCGCTACTCCTTGTCGCTTTTATTTGGAATTTAGTGTTCGAAGCAAAGAAAAACAGAATGTCATCATAGGCATCGGCGGGCCGGCAAAAAAATTTCAGGGGGGGGAATAAAAAATTTTTCAGTTATTATTACCACAGATATTTGTTTTTTCTGTGGCGAAAAAAATTTACTGCCCTTTCAAAAATTTTTCAGGGGGGGGGGGGGGGCACTCCCCCCCCCCCCCCCCCCTCTGGCCCGCCGATGATCATAGGATATAATCATAACCAGGAAATACTGCCAGCTTGTGCTCATAATTATCATGAGCCATTAGCAAGAAAAATCGTTAGCGAGAGAATTTTTTTTTAAATAAAAAAACAAAGAGCAGGAGTTTTATTCGAGTAACTTCATTTTACTTCAAGTTTGTTCGTCTAGTTGGCTTTAGTTTGTCGTTACTTATCGTGAACTCTTTGTTTTAATAAGGATGTGTTATTGTCTTTGAATAGGATTTACGTCTATAAAAGTAAATCGGGATCTTCGTTAATATTTTATGCTTAACTGATTTGGATTATGTTTTCTAAGCGAAAAAATCGACGCTTATCTAAATATCTGTTCTTGAGCATGAACAAAAACATAGAAACAATGTATTTCGCGGACGGAAGAAAAACGATTTCTGTTTCCGTGTTTTCTTAAGCAATCACCTTATTGGCTGAATATTTTCATTCGAAACTCTTCTGATAAGACAATTCTCTGAAAATAAACTAGATCATGAAACTTACTCGTACATTCAAGTTTAAATCTAATCAGATTCAATAGATAAACGCATATGTGTAGCCACATACCTTTACAAACTTTAATTTTGTTCTTTACAATAAACATCAAAAGGCAAAAAAAGGCGCTACTGTTCATTTTTGTCAGCTATTTAATCAATATCATTTAAAATAAGTTCAATTTCGGTTCGTTCAACGAGCGAATTAACTTCATCGAGATGTGTTTCCAAAGTTTGTACATGAATAAGAAATACGATTAGTGCCAAGAGCCAGGATGTCAGCTTAAGAAACTTTTTCACCGATTGATCATAACCATATCTGTAGAGAAGATATTTCCATACTATTTCCACATACGTATTTTGAATCTCGAACACTTGATTTGTACTCGGAAAAACGGTTGTGATACTTGGAAAATACGAATGAACATCTTCGCCACAAGCAAACAGGGAGAATGCAAGTTTCGCTAAGACAACATCTGAGCCGATCATGTTCGTTAACCACCTTTGTAAGTCTATTGTATGTTGTCCATATCTGCCTATTAACGAGTTTGAAAAAGCGCTAGAATCAAACAACTGATGATATTGCACAACAAAACTACCACTCATACAAGATATTTTGTGAGCAGCATTTCGAAGTACTATCGCCCGATCATCAAACGGCAATTTTGAAAAGTCATGATTCATACGGAGATATTTCTCCGTTGTTTTATAAGTACATGATACGAAGTCATCGATTAACGATTGGTATTTTTCATTTGAATAGTCAGTTAAATGATGAGTATCACATAAACGTTGACTAATCGAGAATATTTCACATTCTTGGAAGGTATTCAATAAATTTGAGAGAAGTGTCCATTGACTCGTGTCTAACAGCGATTGATCTGCGTCGAGAAGGTTTCTTGATGGTAGCTGGATAAAACAAAACATCGAAAATAATTTCTTCACAATATTTGTTTCCCATGGTTTACCTTCTGGACTTGACGACTGACCAGAACTGATTTGTTTGGTCGACGTATTATTGGTGCTCGAAATTTGTCGGTAGTCATTCCACACATAGTGCACTTCTTCAATCGACATGCACCGCATACATGTCGAGTATTAATATTGATTTCACATTGACCATTGGAATTACACGACGCTGTCACCTAAAGGAAATTCTTTTTTCAAATGAAATATAGAGGAAAAATACGAACGAACTTTGTGATTATCAGCGTTTCGTCTGAAAAACATCTTACACGATTGACATGATACCACGCCATAATATGCATAAACTGCGGGAGCTCCACATATCCGACAATGGTTGTTGGACGCTTGCATTTGAAAAATACTATCCTAAATATTCAGACTCTTTAGGATATAAATAAAGAGAATTGACTAGCAAAGTTTCTTTTTACTTCAGAATGAAAGTCAAGGATTATAACACAAGGGTAGTTTTTCGCTCAGCCTTATATAGAACAAAGAGAGTTTTTTTGATTCTTTTCTTCTTATCACATGCGTTTTCTCTATTAAATCCGTCTTTTTTCTCATAGAAACGAAAAGAAAATAGTCTTTTTGACTTTCCTCTTTCTGTTCTTAGCACAAAGTGCATTTTGTGTCATGCAGCATGTCGTTTTCTTACTTGTAATTTACGATACATATATTATCACTTTTAGCGAAATACATTAAAGAAAGAATATCTAGTCAAGTGAATTCTTCAATGATTATTTAACTCTTCAAAGATTCATAGAAACTACTCACAGTCTGAACTCTCTTCTGATTGTTTAATTCATACTAGAAGACATCTTCTTGACCATCAATTTAGATGACGATGCTTTTTAATTGACATAGAAGATTAAGATTGCCTTTTCCGCTTCCAAATATAAACACATGTTTTGTTTTCAACTGAAGTTATAAATGTGATGGTGCATTCCATCTATAAATAATGTCGATTTCTTCAAAGTTATGGTGAATCGCATCGGGCGTATGAGAGACGTTATCTAGTCGACAGATGACATCAAATGTTGAATTGATTCTAATGCAGTATATCGATTGATACCCATGAAGTTAGGAAAAAGGTGTCTACATTCACACTCGTCAGATAATTACTATACAGATTTACCAAAAAATCGAACAAAAAAGTATTGAGAGCTTCTTACGAGCACATGTTGCCATATTAGAACTATTTACTAGCATTTGTAGAATTTCCATTAATAACCTTGAAGTATGATCATATTAACAGATGATTTTCTGACTTGAAACGACAAATTATGAAAGAGCAATAATGTCACAACCTACATTTTCTCGATCACATCTTTTTTTTCTCTTTTCGAAGAAAAGAAACGAAATATCAATTTAGTTCATCGAGATATGAGTGTATCGAATAAATCTTTCATGCATTCCTTTTTACATCACATGTATTCGCTCATTACTCACGCAATAAGAAAACATTTGTCATAGATAATTATCGATAATAATTCGTTTTTTCTCTCTTATACAAACACGTATACGAAGTTTCGATCAGATTCGTTTTTGTTGTGTAATAGTTTACGAACCTCTTCAAATATGTAAGAATCGATTATTAAGAGGAAATTTCAAATGAATTGATCAAAATTTTTCTCATATCATGTGAAATTTTTGAAAATAATATTTTTCCTGATGGCCTTGATAAAGAGAGTGTTTTTGTAAATATGAGAGAGTGAGAGAGAGAACGTGCACATCTAATTTCGAATGATTACAGGATTGATATGAGGAAAATAAGAAAATATTTTTTCTGGTTCATTTCTAATAGCAGTGAATAACGTGGCCTTATAAATACTGATGCAAAAACACGCATATTTCAAAAGCGAACATGAGTTCAGAGATCGATTATACAAAAGATTTTGCACGTGCTGACACCAACCATGATGGAGGCATTGATGAAAAGGAATTTCGTTCGTTTCTTGGCCCGGAGAATCAAACGAAAGACAAAGCAAGAGATTTAACTCAATACGACGTTCAAGCTTTTGCTGTAAGTCAGCCACGATTACACTTCATCCTCTTTTTTTCAATCAAATTTTAGTCATCGCCAGTCGTTCAAACTTTAACATACGAAATTGGTCTTGATGTTGCTGTTGGTGGCTTTGTTAAAGATCCATACAGCTATGAAGCTTATACAATAGGTATAACGGACAGTAAAGATCACAAATATGGACTTGGTCCTGATGTTGGAATTGGCGCGCCAGATATTGCAAATAAAATTGTTCAATACGATGCTGCTGGAGCAATGTTTCATTACGCTGACATGAATCACGATGGAAAAATCGATCAATCTGAATTCGGATTTTTTATGCGTTCAGTTTAATCAAAACAAGAACTTTGATCAATATGTCTATGCACGTTTTCTTTCATTCATTTTCTCTCCTTTTTTAAAATAAATGATTGTATTATTTCCAATATCAATAATAATTGATGATAATCTGGAAAAGACTCTTTTAAAATGTTTTTTTTCATTCGTTCTCCTCGAAAGACAATCATCGCGTTAAAAATCATCATCGATTCGTCTAACACATTATCGGATATACTCTCCGGTTGAATCACACCACTTCGATGTTTTCTTTTCCTTCACATTTGTGACGACGTGAGATACCGTTACCGATGTAAATACTTTATCAGATGAAATTGAATGTAGTTTCGAAGATGACGGAAACAAATATTCTTTGAGACGCTGCTAATTTTAAGGTGTTGAGTTTGAACGAGTTTAACAATAGCTGTATTTTCACCCGACAGGAATCGGATTGCGTCGGAGCATCGAGTGCCGATGAATCGAATCCAACACAGGATCCTATATCGCTCTGACCGACCCGGAAATGAACAGTTTGACCATAAACATTTATTATAGTAATTAATCTCGATATTCTTTGAAGTAGATTAACATGCAAGCAAATTCTTCAATATCTTTTTGTTTAGGTTCATTAACGAACTCTACTTTGAACTCCAAATTTCAGTTCCAATATCAAATTCATTGAAGTTGAAATCAAAAACATCAATAGTGCAATCGTTATACTTTTATTAGTGACTGAATGAATTTATGGTGGCAACTTTCATTGAACAAAGACAACACAGTAAGCAAATGAAAAAAACTGAATAAAAAAATATCGATATACGTCAACAGGTTCATAACAATAATTATTAATTATCTTCTTTTAAACACTGTCTTTCATTACGCAAGCATCTCTCATTATGTAGATAATGGTTTCGATGCTTTCAAGGACGATCGATCTTGTTGATTCATATACACCTACAAATATATGAAGATAAACATCATTCTCATCATCAGTGTGCTAGAAAAAGCATCATACGCGATTCAGTGCGTCGAGCAGTTCATCCATCTTGTCAGGAAATCTACTGATTGGATCATAGTATGTCGATCTGATTTCTTCCATTTGATACAGGTCATTTGAATTACCAATACCTGAGGTAGAAAAAAAACTATTCTCATTCGCAAGCGAACACCTATTGATTCATACCAATCCATGTTCGTAGCTTGCCAATCATAAATGAAAAAATATGTTCGCCATGGCTTACTCGTGCTTTACCCATATCTCGCACTACTCGAAAGCTGTCATTGATAATTGTCAAAAACATACTCATACAGACAAATACAACGATCAGAATAAATAAACTAAAACAGAATGGACCAAGGAATGCTGCTGCACCACTCAATTCATGCGCATCGAATTTCATTAAGGTGATTTCGAATAACATTCGCACTGTTTGCAGAACACTAGAACATGACGATAATTTGGACACAAACAGCAGATAGAAGAGAATAACAAATGCCATGAAGACAATTGTGAACATGAATGCAAATGAGATGAGTTCTCTGGCAGCATGTTGAAGTGTTCTTGCAAATAACATGAGACGATGATTGAAGCGGCATAGTTTGATAAACTTGATCGTGCCAAAGAAACAAGAAAATGCGAGCAAATAAGTGAAGACATCATTGATGTACACAGCTAGTTGCAAGTTAATATAAACGTAACCATTGGTTTGTTCGAAGAGATGACCGATGCGAAGTGATTCGCAATATCTCCACACATAAATACCGATATTTGTCCATGAACAGACAATGATGCCTACATTGATCAATGGCCAGAACTGATGGAAGTAGTCAGATTTGAGTTTCGTGAATGATCGAACTTCGCCTATCATCATATGAACGATAAATATCATGTAGAAGATGGTACAGATCAGTTGAGACAACGAAGTGAAGACTATAAAGAACAGAAAAATCGTATGAAATTGATTTTGAATAGTCATACCTTGGAAACTGATCGGTTCAAAACGAGATTGTGGATCGAGACTGCCAGCCGAGAGAAATTCGGTTAGAAGGGTAACAAATGTAAAGAGTTGTGCATTAGGATTGTAGAGAGTGAATTGAATAATGACGGCTCTTGTTTGACTATCAATCCATTCTAGTTGATGGAGTCGAGAGAGATTTGTTTGAAGATCACTGAGTCGACCACGAAATTCATAGACATATCCATCACCACCGTACGTGTGATGATTACCAACAACGGAATAGGTATCGAGTTGATCGTCTGTTCGATATGTAAATGCTTGTTCAACGGCTGAACTGAATGGTTGAGATTGATTGCTGATTTGTTGATAGGGAACCCATCCTGGTTGAAATGACTCTTTCTCTTTATTGGTAAAACTATAATCGTCAATACAATGTGTGAACAACTGTTGAATGGATGATTTGAGCTGGCATGAGTGTGATTTGACTCTGAGTTGTCTCATTGTAACCCATCCGATCAAGCGATTCGATTTATCATTGATAAAACCAGAGAGATTTCGAGGTGGATCATTATTGTACCATTGCTGTGCACGAATATTGTCCGCAAAACTATTCTGTAACCAGCTCCAATATTGATCGATCGTGGATACTTGTGTATAATCATTATTGACTTGTTTCGTGTTATGAAAGAATTGTCGAAGGTGTCGAACTTCATAGAATGCATGTTGATTGATGTTGGAGTAGGTGATGACATAGAGTAAGGCAAGAAAGGTGAGATAAATGAAGATCTCACGGATGATTGACCACATTTGTATTTCCTTCAGTCGTCGATCGCGTATGTAGGCAAGTTCAGCTTGATCGAGACGATCTGCTCGAGTTTTTGATCGGTGAACAAATGGTGATTGAACGTTGAGAGAATGTAAGTATTGTTCATCATTGTTGAGTTGAGGATGATTCTCATCATCATCAATGAATTCAGCTGCTTGTTGATCATTGTTTGTGTTTCGTATGAATAAAGCAAAGATGATCGCTACGCCAATGATCTAAGAAATTCGAGATTGCATTCAGATGAGTAGCTAAAATGAGAACTTACTTTGGCTGGTTGAATGAGAAAGATGGATGAAAAGAAACTAGTGAGAAGCGATGTCAACCATTTCTGAGTTTTCAAGTCACCAAATTCAATCCCACGAACAATAACAAAGAACATCGATACTGCAACGATAATAAATGAAAGGGCATAAGCTATGAACAGACACCACCATGCAAACGTCATTCGTGATCGTTTCTCTCGATTTGTCTCAGTTATCGTGTCACTTGGTTTGATCTTGTAGATAGCCTGTCGCAAAGGAGACAGTTGCTGTTGCAACCGTTTCGGTTCGATGCGACGAAAGAATTGAACAAGCAAAATACTAGGAAGAAACGAGAGCAGTTCAACAATGACACCAACGCTAATCTAAATGAAAAAGTACAGAATATCACGTATGTGAAGGTAATAAATTTAACAAGGAAGAAAAAAGAGTCACCTGTTCAGGAGTGATATGAAGCGGGCCAAATGCAAGACTTGCTGTATTGACACTTGCTTTAGCTGCTGCAACTTGGTCGTAGTAGAGAATATTAAGAAGCATCGAAGTTAACAATAGAACAAAACAACAAGTGCACCGTTGAACACGAGTGAATCGATTCGAAGGTGGTCGTGAAAAGATCGAAAACCAGAGATGACCCTCCGCCACGCTATGGTATGCCTGCTTGGACAGCAAATAGGAGAACTCTTGTCGTTGATATTCACCGGCGACTGGCAATACTCGTTCGATCTACAGAAATTCAACAAAAGATGAATTACGTGCCATCGAGAGCAATTCTATAGCTCTCACCATTCCATCATCTTTTTCGACCGCTAACCATCGTTGACAAATGAAATATGACTTGTCTAACGTTTGCAGATCTCTAACAATGACGTATTTGAGAAACCACGATGCTGATGCACCTTTGCCAGAGTTATCATGCCAAATATGTATGTAGTTCAAGGAACCCAACGATCTAAACCAGATATATTTATCTGTATAGAGAAGAAATAGGCGGAAGCATACTTTGGAACAGTCATAACAAATGCATCGATACCACCTCGTTGTAAGATCTTTCGATGTGGATCAGCTAATGTTCGAACTTGTGTTTCATCATCGTCACCAGCAAGGATGAAATGAACCTGCTCATCATTTGTATAAACATCGATCGTATCTCTCTAAGAGGAAGAAAATCAGTCTTACTTTGGAGTTGGTACCCGAATATGTCCGATGACCGGTAAAGATAAGTATTTGATAGAAAAACTGATCGGAAGGTTGGTTATCAGGAAGTGGAGTAACACCGAGTTTTTCAAGATCTTTCTTGTCTTTGTAGCGTGCATAAACAAGTAAAAGGAGATAGAGAATAGACACACAAATAAGTGTGATGTAGATAGTTTTATTGCGAGTGAAGTCGGCGTTGGAAAACACATAGTTCCAATTGATGGGTGCAGGGAGAACAAGGAATCCTCCTGCAAACGTTGTTAAATGTGTGGATAAACATTGTGTTTGCTGATGATTAGTCAACGGTCCGACCTAAACGAGACAGAAAAATGGTCATACGTATGTGATAGAAATGCCATGGTAGAAACATACAAGTACACCTTCTGATTGCCAGTTGCTATTTGTATCGAGATAGTAACATCCTGATGTGAAGATTCGAAGTTCGTAGTTGGATGTGAAATTGAATGGTTGATTACTGACAGGTGGTTGTTGTTGTGTTACCGACGCATTAGAACACTGATTTGATTGCTCAGTTGTATTCAGTTGTCTCAAGCCAAAGATAATGGATTGATGATTTTTTGTTCGGTTATTATCAATAAAGTAGTTGTAAACAGTATCATTAGGCAGATCTACATAGTGAAAGACAAGGGAAGGCAATGAAGATGAAGCACGAGGTAACTTACTATGAGGACAAAACAAAGACCAACCATCGATTTGTTGATGTGAACTGTTCAGAATGGGTGTAGTATCGAAGCGATAAATAAATAAATAGGCGAGACT